GTAGGTTTGTTTAGAGTGACCTTCTCTTAGATGGATTGCCTTACAGGGCTAACGAGCTCCATCTGCCCGGGGGCTGGGAATCGATTCCTTAATTATACCTGTATGATAAAACTCAACAGTTTCTAAAAAAACAAAAGCAACAAATTTTATAAAAGTTAAATAATGCTGGTGAACTAAGTCCACCACAAGACAGCTTCCCAGCACCCTCTGAAGGCAAGCAAACCAATTCTTTCCTCTTTCAGCACTGAGGTGTGTACCAAATTCATCAATTTTTCAATTGACTTGTCTCTTCCTTAGAGCATCCTTCAATGGTCCAAAACTCCTCATGAATTTTGCCTATCCAAAGGACTACAAACCAGTGTAAGGAAGTACTACTCCACACAATTTTCAGCCAACATCATTGCCAGACAAGTTCTTTATAGGACTCTTTTATTTACCTGAAAGAGTGTCTACTGAGAGGTTTGAAGAATGTTTCCTCTCTCTCCTGGGAGAGCCGTGCATATTGTAGTATATTCTAATCCCAGTTGGTCCAGTAAACAACTGCATGTGAGACACCTGCTGCCAGTGAAGTGACACAGGCTATCCAAAGGTTATCTACCTAAATACCTCAAAATAGCCCCTTTAACAGTGGCCAGCGATGATGTGATTTTATTTTTAAGGCTTCATCATCTTTTTGACATTGAGCTACACATCTCAACATAAAACAGTTTTTAGAAAGGAAAAGAACTGTTCTCCTATCCTGTAAGGGGTACAGAACTGTTGCTGAAAGTCAGGAACACAGCAAGGAATGGGAGGGAGGCCTAAAACTGGCACAGAGGCAGAAAGACACACTGGAAACCAGGGGAAACATTTTGCAGCTGGATAGCTTTTCACACACACCTCCTTACCTTGTTGATGTTTACAAGCAGCACAATGCTGCCTTCTCCAGGCTGAAGCTTCACAGTGAATGTTTGTTGCGTTTGCAATTTGGGAATGTTCACCATCACACGACCTGGAATTGGCTTGGAGCTGACTACCTCAAAAACAGACTCAATTTCAAGACACCACTGCTGCGTACTTTTTACTAAGTAAAGGGGAGAAAAATTTGAATTTAATAGTTATGTTTATATACTTAATAGTTAACGTGATCTCTCATCAAAGAAAAAATTCAAATACCTAAGATTAAATCTAACAATTTTCAGGCCATCTTTGAACCAGACCTACAAGGTTAATGCTTGTTTAGTGCATTTGACATCTGTGTTTACATTTGCCAACTTGGAAGAGAACGATGCCATATGATTTATGTTTCTTAACTCTTTTTTTTTTTATTATTTGAAAGCCATCCAGGGTTTTTTCCAGAGTTCTGTACAAAACTCAGAAACCTTGACATCAGTCACTTCATTAGGAAGGATTTTTTTCCCACCAACTCCAACAGACATCATATTTGCTTTTAGTCAGCACTCATATGAACATGGTACTCTTTGGGAAAGATCGTAATCACAAGCCAGTACAATCACTTTTGTCAATGAAACAAAAACAGTATTAACAGAAAACGAGCTGAATTCATCCCAGAGTCACTAAACAAAATGAATGGAGTTATGCTGGGGATGAATTGGGCCCACTGTGTCTAGACTTGATGGGCTATATTTTTATGTCCCTTCTGCCACCAGTGTGTGGTGGAGGAAACCAATTAATGACTTCCCTGAGATCTCTCTACAGTTACTTCAGAGGATTCTCTCCTTTACAGAGCTTACTGAATAAGGCAAGACAGGATCAAGGGTACTCAAGCTTTATGTGTAAATTTCCCATTAACTTCCACAATTTAATTGTGTAGCTACAAACACAGTCTGGCTAATCCTATACTTCAAATATTACTGATTAACATATAAGCAAAAGCAAATAAAACAGAAAACAAGGAAACCTAGAACTAAGATGTATTTTGTATACCCAAACTTCTAATCACGTACTTCCTCTTTTCATTTATATACTCTAGCTCTCCTTCCTGCAGGAGAGAAAGAGAGCTCCCTCCAAAAGCAAAGAATTACATTCAGCCCTGGTGCAATTTTCAGTGTCTTTTGTGGAATGAAGAGCAATGATTGAGTTCCCAAGTTTATATTACATCCAGCATTAGCCAGGGAAGACCAATTTTCAGAAATGTTGAAAGGGTTAAAAAAAACCCCACCCCACAAGGGTCTTCCATTACAGCGCATCTTCCCTGCCCTCCAAAGGCATATGGAAATTTAAGCCCATCCTTAACTGCATGAACTGTGGAGCCTAGGCAGAGAAATCAAGTACAGTGAATCTTTTGCAGACTCAGTGGTCAAAAGACTGAGTCAAATGACACCAAATCTGACAAGCAATAAAAGTACATATGCAACTTAAATTTAGGTCATTCATTTACTCTTCCTTTTTCAAAGGTTATTATTTTGAATACTAATAAGCTCTCGCTCCTGTTCCAAACCACTCTCTTGCTAAATGAAAGAGGTTTGCTCTCTCCACTTACCCAGAGAGCAAGATTTTACCTACCAGAAGGTGGAGTTGTGGGAATGTGGGAGGGACCAGAACAGACTTTAACTAAATTTTAGAGAGCAGCACAGTCTGTGCTGGGGCTTTCCATGGAAATTCCAATCACGTTAAATCTAGCTAAGACCTGCAGCTATTTCAGGAAGCTTTAAAAGCAGCCATGGAGTGATGTCTTCCTCTTTTACTCATACACAACAAACCTATTCCCAAGGGCTGAAATTCAACCCAGTACAGAGAACTCATGCTAGCCCTTACTCCACTGAAGACTGTGCTCCACAGTGAAAGAAAGCACGTGGGTGGTCTACAGTGGGGCATATTACTGTTTGCAGAAAGTTTCAACAGAAAATTAACCACTTTTCCTCAGCCGAAATGATCTTCAGGACAAAGGAGAGGAAAATCAGAGACCACAGCAAGAGAGAAAACCGGTTTGGTAAGTTAGGTAGCAGGAATGCAGGAGGCCATCCTCTCAAATTGCAGCCTTAACAAATTATCCTTGCATAGCACGACTGCTTTTCTCTCTCAGACTTCATGTTGTGTCCTGAAAACTCGGCACTCTTGAAACTGAGCTCACTGTGCATTTGTCTTTCCAACACAAAACTAAATTCCCACAGCAGCTTTGCCTTTGTTTTAAACGAAAGTGTGACAAAAGTGAGACATTTACTGGGAGTCTTGGTGAAAACACATGCCAATAAAAAAGAAATTTTTCAAAACTATGGAGAACAGGTTCTAACCTCAGCTATACTACACATTTACTTCTGCAGTTATTTGGAGACCCTCAAGCAAAAAAAAAATATTCTAAATTCTATCATTTTTAATTGCTATTGTTTGTACTGAAGTACTGTTTCAAAACCTAGAAAGGTGTGCTGTGGTAGGAACTACATACAAAGTCATAAAAACCCCAACAGAACTTTTCCTAAAATGACAGTTCATTAAGCTTAAGAATAAAATGGTTTTTATTCCAAAGGTGAAACAATAATAAAAACAAGACTTACCAAAGAAAGGAGTTAAAGAAAAGTAAATCAGGTGGTAATGGTCATAGGCTTCAATCCTAACATCTTTCCAGATTCCTTGAGTGGGAAAAGAAGGGCCCCAGTCCCAACTAAATGAACACTGCTCCTGGAATACAGCATGATTATGTTACAATTGCCTATTTTTCACATGGACATTGATACTGTGCCAGAAACAAAAGACATTTGCTATCTAGGAATAAAATATTGGCATGCACTAAAAGAAGTTTTCCAATTTCCATAAATCCAGAAGAGCCTACAGTATATTTTTTCTCATTTCTTGACCAGAACTCTGCTGCTATTACCTATTTTTCAGTATATAAAAAATTAAATTTGGTATTAAACATCCATGTACAGAGAAATTTTGTATTACTGAAATTTTGTATTACTTAGCACACCATTTGGAAAAAACAACAAAACAAACAGTAAAGATAAAATTAAAAATCCAGCAGATTACTCTCAATTTAACTATGAATTATCTTAGTTTGTAATGTCAGTATTTAATTGTACACCTAAAAGACAAATGAGGCAGAAAACTGATGGTTAGAAATGTTACAGTATTCTAAAAGAACAGTATCAAATTAAAAACTGTATCACAAATACTTTATCTCCTATTTTTAGTAGTAACACCACAGTTTAGTACAAGAAAAGAGATGCATATGTCTGGTGTGTTTGTGTAGTTCAGTCATGTTCGCTGTTTCTCCCCTTTTTATGGTTCTCTTATACAAAAACAAAGGGAACAAAACCATGCTTGAGAAGTAGCTTAGTTCAGGTTCTAACATCAGAATAACTGTCAGAATTATAAAATGCTGGTCAGGCAGAGAGGTACCTACACTAATTTCCATTTAGCTGTTTTCAAACCTGGTCAGACCTCTAGTTAACAAATCCCTTGACGACATCTATTCAGCTGCCCTCCAAGTTTCACACAGCCCCAGCCCCAAAGCAAATACAATAGATCTCCTAACGTCTTGTACAGTGACACACAGTTCTAAATTTAGAGACTAATAACTTACAGCCGAGGCATACTAATTTGGGCAAGCCACATTGCACAAGTCTGGCCTATCCCTTGCATCTCTACAGTCCGCCTGCCTGCCTATCAAATTGCAAAAGAGCCTTCCAGGAAGGAAACGCTGTACCTATTTCAAACGCAAAACCAGGGAGAGCATATTCTTAGAAAAAAAGGCCAATTGAAAGCAATTTTCCCTTTAGAAAAAAACTAACTAACAAATCACTGGCAGATTGTCAGGTTTCACCAATAACACTGCAGAGACCGCTATCAGAAACAGTGTGTCATAAAAACAACACGCTTGTATCACTGAAGTACATTACCAATGACAGGCTTGTGTTCTGCCACAAACCCTGTTCAGTTTTAGGTAAGTTTACTGCACTTAATACTGCACCCGAAATGTATAAAGAGCTTTCCATTACTTTCAGACAGCAATCCAGCTTACTTTAGAAATGTCCTAGTATGTTTGTTTACTTTTTAATGCCACATAGCTGCTGTTGTTACCGTATACATGGAACTCAGAACATTTCTGGAAATTTCTGGAGCAGCTTCCAAGTACAGTCAAACAACTCATTTGAGAAAAACCACTAGGGTATCTTCTTACAAATTTAAAGGTATAGTTCAGTGAAGCGTAAAATCATTCCTGGCCCCTTTCGCTCTATAAATAAGACTACAGCTGTTTAAGGCCTTCTTCCTCCCAAGCTTCTCCTCACACTGATTTCTAAGAAACACACTGGACTCAGAAGAATTAACAAACTTTCCAAAATGTAGTGAAAATAAAAGTAGCAGCAAGTAGAAATAAAGACAATATCTTAATCCTAAAGGATCTTTCCAGCACAACACAGAGTCCATGTTTACAAATTGTAAAGGAAATTACATCCAGGTTTAGATTAACAGGATTCTAGTCACTTTTTGAGGAGGCTCTAAAAAGACTTTATTAAAAAGATTTAAAATAACTAACAAGAAAGGCATTAAAGTGGAGACAAACCTGAAAAGACACCAAAAAAGAAAAATTCCAAAATAAGATCATCTAGCCATTGCTTCTATCTGCTGCCAAGCTAATAGAAATACACAAGATGCTTCTCAAACAAGAGGAGCATCTTGTTTGATAAATTTTAATAGCAACAAAGTCATGTCTTAAATCAAAGTTTCTGAGCTTCATTCATTTTCACTGAATATGTACTTATAAGTCACACTTTTCAACACTAATGAGAACAGGTTCCCTGTTAGATAACACTTCTTGGGACATGCCAGAGCTGCCCAGTATAAATAGCACAGCACATGAGCAACAGTAAACACTCACAAAGCTGCTTGGCTGAGATTTTTACAGCCTTGGCAATACACATTGGTATTTGCAACAGTGAACTCTATTGTCAGCATACACTGCTAAACCCACCCAGTGGATCAAAATGTAATGATTGCACATTTCCCAAAACTATCCCGCTCTCTTAGCAGCAAGTCTCCTTGCTGACTCCTTGATGAAAATAGCCTTTTAAACAATCTCAGATTTGAAGCCTGGCCTTCTTATGCCTATTGTATTATCAACATGCTAGATTAAAGGTTTCTAGGGGGGACATGAGAAGGAAGCTGCAATACAAAATATGTTCTACTTATAAAATGACATTGCAGGTTTCAGAATACAACTGTAAGGACAGCACACGGTGCATTCCTCTTTCCAAGCCTGAAGTCAGAGACAGACAATTGTGCCCCCACCTTTCTGATAAAATTCACATGGCACTCTCCTTTCTGCTCAGGTGGAGGGCAGGCGGGGGGGATGCTGTAAGCTTTGTGACACCTGCTCTGCTCTGCTGCATAGGAAACGGCCGACAAGAAACGGACTTCAACAAAATTGACCTCCTTGATCACGCTGGTGATATCAAAGCTCTAGGACAAATAACAGAACAAAATCATTACAGCGCTGACATTTATTTATGTGATTGAAAATCACTGTTACATTGGGATTTTAATACCATACATCTATTATTCAAAGGCATTTGAAGTACAGTCTAAACATGCTTCGGTTTTGAAGGAAAAGCTACTTCTTAAGCTAAAAAAACCCCAAAATACACAGTAGCATTTTAGACTCAAAGAGTTGTTTCTGGGCAAACCACTTTCCTCATACCAAGCTCTCACTGCCAGCTGTAGCACTCTGCTTGCACACAGAAGTGCTTGAAGGACAAGGACAGCAAGAGAATCTTTTCCTTCCTCATCCAGAACTCATCTGCATCTTCAGAGAGACAACTCAGAAATCTGGTCTATACAAGAGTCCTTCCAACTCATACTGTGCTGCCAACTCATCTACTGCAAGGCTGAGCTGCCTTGTCTGTGAATGCTGCAAAGCTGTATTTCGTGCAACCTGCATTCTCATCCCCAAAATTTACAGACACACATTCTATGCCAGCACCAAATGAAGCATCTGGGGCTTCCTCAGTGGGTCACAAAATCCCCTTCAGTGTGGCTGGACAGAAGGAGAAATGTTCCATTTCAGAATTATCCTGTGCTAATATGGTTCCAGTGGCTAATATGCATTTATTCCTCACAGTGTTCATTTGTGATGAGCCAAGTCTTGGCAATCTCTTCAACCTGGGGGCAGCCCAGCCAGCATGACTTATATCTGTAGCACAGAGCAGAAGACTACAAAGCAAATAGTATTCCTCCATTTAGAGCCTTCAGCGAGTTCTTCCTGCAGACATTGTTGCCACGTGGAACAGGTGAACAAAGCAGCAGTCTGGGTCACAGTAATCAGACTCAATTTAATGTGGTACACTCTGATTTTACAGTGAAGGCCATTTTATGAACTGTTACAATCTGAGACAAAATGATGTCACAGAAATATGGACAAAATAATGCCATTTCCCAACTGTACAGAGCCTGCTAATGGCAAACATTTAGATACTCTCCGAATAGTAAATAATTACAATTTTGTAAAAGCTCTATGAAATGTCTTATTTCACTGATGGTAAAACTAAGTCAAAGCTAAACTAAGTGGTTTGTCCCAGGTCACACAGACCCAGGTGGCAGAATCCATCTCATGTCTCAGCCCAATGCTTCTACAATAAAACCTGCCAGAATGGTAAATGCTGAGACAGGTAGACACCAGATTTTATTTGTCATTCAGTTATTCCACTACTGTTCTTCCTTTAACTCTTAATTTTTTTATTCTTTTAAGAGAAAAGTAAGGATTGTTCCTTATGTTAGTACCACAATAATTTTATATTTTAAAGCTATACAATCAGTCTGAATGTTTTTGCCACTCTCAAGATCATTCCATGATGAATACTCTTATGCTGACATAGGTTAAGCTCAAAAATGCAAGTCAATGTCATCAAAAGTGCAACATTAAAAATAAACCACCTTGTTTAAAAAACAAAAGCATGGAAACACTTAAAAAGGCTTTAAAACACGTGCATTTTCACTGCAGTATTCACATGTAAACCATTCTAATACCAATCAGTAAGTAGATTTACAGCTAATATAACAGATTTAAGCTTAGGTTTTCTTGGAGCTGGGACAGATCCCAAGAAGCAAGACATATTATTAGCTGAATTGATCCTCTTGCATTGGTCCTCTCATTTAGGACAAGACACATTTACCTTTAGATATGACGCTGTTGCTACTGAAAAGGTAAGTGCACTTCTCTTTCTAACATTTATCTGATTATACAGGCAGTCTTCAGGTCAACACTGCCTGCGTCCAAGCACCTATTTTTATGCGTATTTTAATGCACTGAAAGTGCTCAGAACAAAAGACCTTTGGAGAAAAAACAGAAGCACCTTCAGAAATAAACACATTACTTACATATCTGTTAAACATGTTGTCTGTTCTCCCCACAGTGACATTGTTGAGCAGGATCTGTGCTACTGTATCTACTCCCTCGAAAACCAAATTCACTTTCTGCCACTTTCTACAGAAGATAACACATATGTGAAAAACTGTTAGAATACCTAGCATTAACAAATACAGTAGATAGACAATATAAAAACGTATATCACCATTATCTTCAGCAGCATTTGCCTCAGCTACCTCCAGAAACATTTGACTCAGTGTGGCTACATTATATCTTTAAACAGTCAAATTAAGATGACAGCTGAAGTAGCTCAAGTCTACAACACAGCATGTTCACATACACAGCAGATATCAGATGGGATGGCTTCCAATTAGCCGAAGTATTATACTTTCTCAGTTGACAATTCATAAGTAATTTTTAACAATTAATTTTAAAAAAGGAAAAAGCAACAACTGAAGTGTTATGTAGCAACAGTTTTGCAACTACACATGATTGCATAACTTGTTTTTTTAGACACAAAAATATTAAGCAGATTTTGAGCTGATGGATTAATTTGCAATTCTGCATGAATGATGGCACAGAACTATTTTAGACATATCTTTACTGCATACCTGATGTCAAAAGGAGTTTTAAATGTCCTGCTGTAAGTCCAGTTATCTAATGAGATCCATCTGTACATCACATCATTAAATCTATAGTATGGATCCTAGTAACAGACCAAAAAAAGAAAATTACAAGACTCATTTAGTAATAGTGAATAGTTACTATATGAAAAGCATCATAATATCCATTAGATGAACACTTCTTATTTCAGACAGTCTGCAAATGCAAAATCCACCTTAGTTAGTTAGTCCAGATATTCCTTTTCACCTCTGAAATAATATATGAAAGTAATGCTTTAGTAATATTTAGCTTTACTTATATAGGTCAAAACCCTGTTTGCTATAATCATTTATACTCGAATTAGAGGTAGCGGGATTTGTTCTTACACAAGAAATTACTGGTTTGGAATTTAACTAGTAAATCAAGATAGCTTGTGACTTAATGAGAGGAACAGAAACATGATCACCCTCATAATGGTGGAGAAAGTAAGACTAATAGGATTTTAATAGGCAAAGAAACAGCATTTTAGGCCTCTAGGGACAGCAGTGAACAAATCTCTAGTTTAAAATAACTACAAATACTCCAGTTGTTTCTTGTCAACTAGTCTTGTTGTGGTGAGGCTAAATGAAATTGTTATATATGGAGGGACGGAGAAAGGGAAGAAGGAGAAGCAACACAATTTTGGTTTTGGTATAAAACTTAAATGACTACTTTTGAGAACAGCACTACATTAATGCCAAATCTGCCCTCTTCCCTTGAATCACACTTCCCAGGAGGAATAAAAGGCACAGTTGGTCTAAGCCACGTCCTCGACCTTTTAGGCTTCACGCTGTATTTATTACCTTATGGTGGGTCATGACATCCCTCACCTTGGTTGAAGGAATCAGTTACGAGGACCTGACAACCCCCGGCCTTGCACCTTGAACAGAGGCAGCAGAAAGGTACAGACTCATATCTCATGTCAGAGCACAGGTATCCGGGTCACTGACTGACAGCTCAGTTCAATCCTCTGCAGCAGCTGCACTGCTGAACTGCCTTCCCAAAACAAAGACCAGTCTCTTCTGGACTACATGACTCAAACCCAGCTGAGGGAGAGGGCAGCTGCATTAAGGTTTGCTTTGATATGAGTGTTCTACAGTACCAACACCGTTTAACTACCTGCCCTGAATATTCAAATTCACACTGAAGAAAACCTGCCCAGCTTTTTTTTTTCCTACTTGCTGAAGCTAAATTTTTCTCCCTATTTCAGGAATCAGTATAGATAGCCATGATGCTTTGGATTTGCAATTTTCTGAAAACAATTGTTTCATACCTCATATTTGTTTTACAACTAACAGGGCCGAATTCTGTAATATAAGCACAAACCATACCACAAAGCATAGCAGAGCAAAATTGTAACATCTAAGTCACTGTCCTCAGCAGCACAGTCCCCTCTGGAGTCCTACAGCAATACATCATTCCTTGAGCCCATCCAGAGGGAAAGTTATCATCTTGCCTCTACATGCTATGCGCTATCAATAAAATTTCTTACTACAAGGGAAGATTCAAAATGGAAAGGTCTTGTCGCTTCAGTAAAACTGTGAACTCTGTACATACAAGGTATTGTCTAGAAGTTAAGTCATCATGAGCTTACCAGAACAACTACTGAATTTAAAAATATTCATACCATTACTTTTACATGCAAAATGTATTGGGGAATAATCTCAGACTTTTATTAAGATGTAAAATTAAAGGCTAATAAATGCATAGTAAAATGCAAAATTTAGGTTCATAAAAGAAATTCCACTGAGATCATCATATTCAATGAAAGGCAAGCAACAAATGTCACAGACCATGAAAAGCAACCATATGTACTTAAAAAGCACATTTTTAACAACTGGTTTGCTTTAACATTATATACTATCTTATATACATTTACATATATATACATTATATTTGACATTATATACTATTTTATTTAAGGTTTGGAAAAATGCTTTGAAAAATGTGCATGTTAAATTTCAATCATTGCTTTTGTTATGTGTGAAATATTTAATAAAAGGCCAGAGATGTAAGTTGTAAATGCACTATCAGCAGCAGACTGTAAAGCCATTTGGTTAATGGTCAAACAACCTACATCAGTACCTAGGCAAAGATGCATTAGAGAAACCTGCACCATCTCTCTCCCACAAATGCATGGATATCGAGATGTTAATGAAGAAAGTCCTGCCTTCTGCAAAACACAAAAAACTGGCTGTCAAGCAGCAAAGAGAAATGTAGGAATACTTCATCAGAGGCAGAAATCAACCTCGAATGGGCTCTTACAGGAGTTTACCAACAGAGCAGCTTGTTTAAATTTCAGAGTGTACTGCAAATCCTTTTTCCTGAAGGAGCTTTCTTCTTTACTATCTAAAGCTTTCAACCATCAAGAAATGCACTGACTGCTAAAATATGTGTGGTAGAAGGTGCTAATTAGCCTTTCTGAGTACTGTTTCTTAATCACAGACATCCACCCTTTTGGATGGAAAACTCATAGTTCTCTGTACCTTTACACAAAACTTAACAGCTTACTGATACCACTCCTGCATAACCTGTAAAACAGCTTATATATCACACAGCAAAGCTGTTAAATGTTAGTACTGATTAGTCATTTTTGGCATGACAAATGTTGCTTGTTGTAAAATCAGTCATGTGGCAATGTTCAAGCAATGCTTTTAAGACAATCCTCCAGGTTCAGGAGAAATGCATGACCAGAACAAAGTCTTCTAAGAAAGCAAAACTACTTTTCCAATAGACTTGTGAGATTATTGACTTTTTCACTACTAAATACAACTGTTCCAAATGCTGGAAGATGTTCCAAGTGCTGGAAGATGTACCTGTGGAAGTCAAATTGTCTGGATTTTTCTGAAACAGAATTGCATTTCACATTAAATCAGCTCACATCAAAATTAAAGGTTTATTTCAGAAAAGTGAATTAAAAAAAAAAAAAGACAAATTTAAAACACTTAAAGGCACAAGTAGAATTTGAAAGATGATAGGATATAGACTGTGCATCTATTAAATATACTTCACATTCAATAGCTCAACAGCTCAGTGTGTTCCTGGAAGCAAGTCATAGAGGGGTGGAGTCAACTACAGCTATTTTTAGATCCCATCAAACGCGTCAGCCTTGCATTTTCCTGCTCCCTGCAATTAGGGAAAGAAATCTGAACCATTCAAGCTGCTGGCCTGTTTGTTCTCTGCCCCCAGCTTCCACGCTGTAAGCAAGCAGCAAATCACCTGCTAAGATGAGGTAAAAAGCCCTGCTACAGATCATCAAAAGGAAGCAATTTCCAGGTCGGATAACAGGATATCAGCAGGACTTCAAAAGCACTGGCAGCACTACAATGAAGGCACTGCCAAGTGCCTAGATGGAAGCTTCTCCTTACAATGATTTTAAGGGGATATCTGAAAGCTACAGTGGCATGAGCTGAGAGCTTCTCCTGCTAAGCAGGAAATGGATGAGACACGAACACAGCAGAATTAAAGTTCCAAGCCCCAGTGAGCAAGTGGTGCCAGGCACACCCTGGCCTGGAGAAGGGCCTTTTCCAGGCCCCCGCGAACCAGGAGTTTTGGGGAGCATGACACAAACAGCTGAATGACACCAGACAGAGTCAGCTGTATCCAGGCAGGAAAACTGTGTGTAATAAAATGAAATATAATAAAGAGAGAAAAAAAGAGATTCCTTTGCCTTATCCTGCTTTTGTCATGGTCTAATTTGAAGTCACCTTTCATGCTTTTCTCTCATAAATTAACTCTGATGATTTTTTATGATGTACACCATAAGAAAATCCTGATGGTGTAACAATTTACCAAAATAAAACTTGCAAGTGATGTTTCATGATTTATAGTGTAATGATTCTGCTGTTGCTGACTTCAGACTGGAAGCTAAATAGCTAAGATATCTATATCCATGCACTCCTTCCTTGCAAGTGATAGAAGTCAGGACATTTATACAATTTTCAGCAAGCCCAGTTTCACATATTTACAGCTTGAAGTCAAGCTGACTAACAGTAGTGATGAATGGATCGTATTCTCAGAACATGAGTTTTGAAGTTCATCCTAAAGTAATTGATTTTGAGTAGTTACTCTCAGAAAGCAGTAAAACTGTCAATGTTCAAAACGTGTTATAGCTGAACACTAGGCCAAATACTACTAGCATTATTTGGATACCTTACTGTATTTAACAGACCACTATAACCTTTATTGGTTTTAACATCACAAGCTTAAACTGACTTGAAAGAAAAACTTAAGTACTCTTTAATATTTATCCTAAGTTTCACTAAGGCTTTTGAACACTCCTCATAAATTCCCATAGTTTAGCAGAGCATCTATATTTCAATGGAAAATAATATATTAATCAACTATTTCATCAACGAATGTCATTTAACCTGACAGAACCATATAATACCAAATGGAATTGTTACCTGACTTGCTCTGAAAAATCTAAGTTATAACAACGTGTCAGAAAACACACAACAGCATATTTTATAAAAATGTAGAACAAGCTACAGAAATTATACACTACTTTCCAGAAATGCAGAACTATCAGCTGATATCCATAAATTTCTGTCTCTTCAAATATTTTAATATCCAAGTATGACCAAGACCACTGTAACCTTCTGTGTCAAGTGCATGCCCTTGTTGCCTAAAGGGCCAGAAAATACAGTGTTATCCAGCCCCTGTATAAGCATCACAGTTGCAGACCCTTCATAATAGTTCTTTACAAATCAAAGTGACTGCTAATAGGAAAAAACAGCCTTATATAGGAATGCAATGGCTGGCAGATAAGAAAACAATACTCACATTCATCAGAACTGAAACTTTACAGGAGTTACTGGCCAGCAAGAAATGGCATCATGCAGGACTTGAGACAGTACATGGCAGAGGATGCCTACTTCTAGCACACAGATCTATGTGCAAGTTACCTGTGGATACATATTGCTTACCAGAACAGTGCCTGAAAGAAAACACTACACTGACAGTGGTCAAAAGTAAAATCTTCAGACCAAATGGCTTTTCAGCAAATCTTTTTCCAGAGCTGTAGGGTTAGCAATAGGTTTGCTGCAAGTTTGTAAAATGTGTGCATTCGTAGTCAAGCTTTGCACTAACTTTATTCAAGTGACTATTACCCTGCTTTATGTGCATTTCTCATGTATTTTTTTTAAATTTTGCACGTAAATAGTACTAACAGCTACAGAATTCTAATGAAATTTTATTAAAAGTACCAAGCCAAACACATACTCTGATGCTATCTCCTGCTTCAGTCATAGTTAATCCAGCATTTGAAGTACGTTGGTTGAACATGGAAGAAAATAATACTTCGGTAGAAAACTCAAAAGTATCTTCCCCAAGCACATTTTCTAAGATATGTGTATTTGCTGCATTCAGAAAGATGTCTTCATCCAATGTATATTTTATGAGCCAGAGTAAAGATATCTCTAGAACAAATGCTAAGAGGATCCAGAGAGATGAGTAATGAACCTTCCGTGTCAGAGAGATGTTTTTCAATTCAAGTGTATGGCCTGCACAGCAGATTAAAGTAAGGCTGCAGACACGCAATCAGCTACAGCATCCCTTTGCAAAAACAGTTTGTGCATCGACCTAAATTTGAAATGAACCACATACTGATAAATAAATTGCTTGCAGCCTACTCTTGCAACCTAAGACACATTTTACAGGCTTAATATACAGCAGCTTACCCTTGCTACCCTCCTTCCCCTCATTTTTGAGATGCCCACTAAGCTACATTGCTGGAGTAGGCCCTCCCAAATTTTGCTTTAAATTTCTCTTTTGGGTGCTAACTCATTAAAAATCCCACGGATACAGCAGTAAAGGATGCAGTACTATTTGCCATTTGCAAAGAACACAGAAAAACAGCACACAGATTTCACTAGGTCACTGAACATATGGGTCCTGCCACCCAGAATCATTTTGTTCCCACTAGCTTTGTTCTCCTATTTCCTGGTACAGCTTTTCAGACCAATCTTCACTTTTGATTACAAGCAGAAAGCTTTTGGGTTGCTGGTAAAGTGATATCTTCCATACAATGAATAAAAATCCTACATTCCACGGTGAAGAGCAAAAGGAGTAAATGAAAAAAATACTCAAAACCAAAACTTTTGTATTTAGGCACCTGTAATTAAACTCCTAATTCTAGACTTGACAAAACCCCAAAAAGGGCTAATTTCCAGAGATAATGAACTCTGAAGAAATAGATCAGTGCTCTGTGCCTCTAAAGTTAAGGCAGTGTGTATGCTTTTGTATAACTAGGAATACAATTTTAGTCAGCTGCATTTGAAAACCTTTGGTCATATCCATCACTGCAATAAAGAAACCTCAGGACAAACAGCTGGGCCTCCCTTTGCAGCATGAAGCCACAAACTGCAGTAATGAATGATGTCACTGATTCCCTCCAAACAACCCAGGTTTGTTGCTTTACAGAATGCTACAACTATTGTGGCAGGGATTGAGTACATTTAAGATCTGTGATAGATTTCAAATCTGCTAAGGTTGCTCCTGTGTTTTGGTACAGTCTACATTCTGTCTTTTAAACAAAAACATGATTTTAAAACAATTTAGTTATCCTGGTGCAAATATTTATGCGAACGCTTTTTTCTGTAAACTGCGCATGAATGGGTTTAAGCTGACCTTGAGTTACACACCTATACATAGAAACAAGTTAGCTCATTCTGAGCTCGGAACTAGCCAGACACCGGTTGCATCCAGCACAGAGGTCAAGCAACCACACCAGTGAAGTATTTTGGTTAACGCAGCGACTCGACTGAGCCTACTAACACCACCAATTTAGCAACAGATTCCAGTCCACAGCAGGTTCATACCCGGCCATACCAGCACGTTTGGAGCAAGTTCTTACTTGTATTCATGTAAACATGTCCTAAGTGACCACAACCATCATCAATTTAATTGGCCAAGCACCCATCTACCTATTAGCAAGACCCGTGCTGCTGGTCAGCCGGTACTGACTAAGCTTTCATGCCTCTGTGCAGGCTTGGGATTCTGCACAGGCACATGAGAGTTCATGATCACAGCCTCATTTCCAAATATACTGACGCTCAAAATGACTAAAACTACAAGTCAGTTTACAGCAATGCAGTTAAATTAGCAATCACATCTTCTCGCTTTGTAAGCGTGCTTAATGTGAGTAGCTAAATGTGAGTCTTTAATTACGTCATTATCTTGCCAGCCTGAGTCAGTGCATTGGTCACAGTTTCTCCTGGATGATTATTCACACTTCTTACAGCAACACCTCCCAGCACACCCAAATATCTCAGGTAAAGTTCGCTTTACCTTGCCAACTTTTGTATTGGAGAAACTGGCACAGTTCCCTTCACTGTTTCTCCATGTACAGTCTACCTGACCACTGCACATTTGAAAACTTTAGAAAAGCCCTAAATTGTAAATGTCCAAGGTATCATGTCACTTAGCACACAGATGTTGAAGCAACAGACCATCGTGGCTTCTCAGAGTATTTACTTTTCCAGTGTTGACTGTTTCTCTTATCTGGCAATGACACTCTTTGAAATCTATTATTAGTACTGGGATTCCCAACCTATGCCAACACAGAATAATGCTAAAATTATCCTGCCCAAAGTGGCGTCACTTTCTACTTTTACCTCTCTAACTTTAGTCAGAGCAGAGCAGTATAATAACCTGAAGGATAAAAATTAAGGAAAATACAAAAAGCATGCATCCAAAATGTATTTTTTAAACATATGCTGCATAAGAACTGCAACACTGGGCTCACAGCAAATGGAGGGATAATATTATATACTCATATATAATATGAGTATACAACATATGACAATACTCTATGTTTTCTAGTATAGAACCATATTTATCAGTTTTATAGATGAATTTGTTAATTTCACTATATTTTATTTCTTTTCTTTTCCTTGTTCCAGGTATACGTTTCACTTTCCATGTTTCCTTTTAAAAAGGCACTTCATTTCAAGAATGACCCAGTTAGTCCCATGTTTTTTGTCAGGTCTGAGTCACAACCACCTTATGCTGGTATCGGAGTACTTTGCTACCTATCTACAACTGCAGTTTTGATAATTTGTCCAGGAAAGTGGTCGCTATGTTTTCATAAATCTAAACAACTAAAGAGACAGGCATAAACTGAAGCAGAGAAGTTTCTTCAAAGTGTTAAGGCAGGGATTAGTCTTTTAAATTCAACAGTTTTGTTCTTGTGTTTCAGAATATACTTCCCTTAGGGAGTATGGGAATAAATAATCTCAGTTGTTCTGATATGCTCTGCAAGTATTAAAAGGGTTTTTAATGGGCTAAAACTCCTGAAATCCTTAAACTTCTCACATCTACAAGTCAAACTTTAGCAGGGTGGGTTTAGCGTTTCATTCTTTTGAGGAAACATTGTAGGTAAACTTGCCTTACATGCTGTGAGGATATTGCAGGTATCTGCTGTCAGCACCTTGGTTCCGTGCCAAAACCACAGAACCTCACACACTTCAAAGCACAGGCTTCCATTTCTATCACTGGTCCCGTCTGGAACTGAGGACACTGCAGCCACAGAACCCCTTTGCCACTGGCGGGGCCAAGAGACGAAGCCTGGCCGCTGCACCAGCAACAGCAACAACAATCCCTGCAGTGGCTGCGGCAGCTCCCGGGACAGAGCCGTGGTTAGGGGAAGGCGGGGGGGAGCGAGGGGGTCGCCTCTACTCGTGCTTCTGGACACCTCCTCACACGCGGGCTTTGCCCTCCGAGACCGGCTGCCCGCGGCGGGCTCGGCAGCGCTCCTCGGGCGCCGGGAGAACCGTACCTGGATGAGGCCGCGGCGGAGCAGCGCAGTGTGGACGCAGCCCGGAACCTCCGCTCGGAGCGACACCGAGCCGTTCCCGCTGCGCAGCCGCCAGCTCCCCCGCAGGCTGCGCCACTCCGGGCCGCCCGCGGCCGCCGCCCGCGGCACCGCTAGCACCGCCAGCACCAGAAGCGCCGCGGAGCCCATGGCCGCGCCCGCTCGCCCCTCACACAGCCGGCACGGCCGCCAGGAGCGGACAGCTGGGGCGGCGCTTGCAAGGGAGGAAGGAAGGAGTGAAGGTCGGCGCTGCTGAGGGCGAGCGGGCGCGGCTGCGCGCGGGTCTCCGGGCCGCGCGAGCGGCCCTACCCCTGGCGGCTGAGGGGACTCGGGGGCAGCGGCTGCGCTGCCGCCGCCTCCCTGGCTGGAGCGGCGGTGGGCGCTCGCACAAAACCCTGCCCACGCACGCCAGAGAAAGTGCGGGTTTTTTTTTTTGGGTTTTTTTTTGGGGGGGGGGG